TCTCAGTCATGTTTGTGGCCCTTCTCGTGACACAGCATGGCCCTCTCATAATTAGTATCTTTTCTTGCGTCCATGCCACTTCACAAGAAGGGGCATGGACGTCTCATCTTGTCTCGCGTCCATGCCCCTTCTCATGAAGCGGCATGGACCTCTTGTAGAAGTGGCACATGCTTCTCCTTGAAGCGACATGTATCTCTTTCAGACTTAGTTTATTTTTCAGTCATTCGGTATTGGTCGCGGGGCGGCATGTGCTCCTCAATTTCTAGATGGACATGGCCCTCTTCGTTGAGGCGGCATGTCCTCTTCATTCATGGCCATGGACTTCTCATACTTAGAAATTTTCATGCCATCTCGTGGCATGGCATGGCCTCTTACGAGAGGCCCATGTCCCTTATTGAATCATGTCCATGCTCATTAATGAGCTAGTGACTTGGGTTTAAAATCAATATCCATAAGGCCCAATTTAAACAACATTAATTGTAAAATGAGTGTGGCCTTATAAACTCCTTGATTATCTTGTAACTCACCAATGTGGTACAAGACAAAATTTATGGTGTAAACACCCGTCATGCCACATTATTCCTCCTGTTATTTTCCTACTTTTGTTTTAGTCTCAACATAATCCTAAAAGTATCTAATGAAGCAACTAAATAGAGAAAATTGATAAAATTTTATAATTTCTCAAAATTACATACTAAACGTATTTGTATTTTTTATTTTCATGGTGTTGTGGTTCTACTCTCTTATCACAACAGTATTGCAACCACAACAGCTACAAAACTGTACTAAACAAGGCCTAAGAGTTTTAGATTGTCAAATTCGTGCAAATTATAGCTTGTTTTAGGTCACTTTCTTTTGTGCTAAGAAACTTCTAGAATTCACATCCTTCATTTTATTTTTCGAGCTTTGCTACATGGTTTCTTCTTGTCTCATAATCGTTCAAATTAGTTGGTAATCTTATGCTTTAAGTTACTTAATTCCATTTAATTGTGAACTAAGATATTGGTACAATATTGAAGAGTAGAAAAAAGGCATGTGTGACCATAGTATTGGTAAATCCATATTGATTGAGTGTAAGCATGAGGACTAAGAAAAAGAGTGACATCAATCAAGTGAAACACATGAGGGAGTCATTGGTGAAGCCATTAACATTTACTTTGTTACTTGGAAATTGACTGATTGTTCTCGAGTTGTTTGTTTGAAGTTAGTTACCATGGAAGGTAAAAATGGTGGTGTTAATGAGGCTATAATGGAGGCTATGTTTAAATTTTTTTCTCAATTATGGGATACATGCCAGGAGAAAACCAAGATAGGCGTGCACGAGAAAGAAAAGAGCCACTAGGAGTAGAAAGAAGGCAACCTCTATAAGAACAACTCCAACAAGTTTGTAATTGTTACCAAAAATAACCACCCCCACAACCAATGTAGAGAATAAAAAGAAGAAAATAGATAGATACGAAGGGGAGTATGGTGAGACAACCATGTGCCCCCTAAAGCTGAAATGATGGGTATAAAAATTAACATACCACCATTTCAAGGCCAAAGTGATCCAAAAGCATACTTGGATTGCAAGAGGAAGTTGGAGATGATATTTGAATGTAACAATTACTTTAAACGCCAAAAGGTGACTCTAGCTAATTTGAGTTTACCAACTATGCAATCCTATGGTGAATCAACTTTGCACTCAAATAAGGTTTGGTAAACAAGAACCATTCTTTAGTTGGAGGGAGTTGAATGGCATTATAAGAGAATGATTTATTCTAGCCTACCATCAACAAGAGATGCACCAAGGTCTTCAATTTGTTTAGAAGATTCTAAGAGCATGGAAGATTATTATAATGAGATGGAGTTGCTAATTATTCAAGCTTATGCTCATGGGGCTAAACGAGTTGATGCAAACGACCAAAAAAGTGGAGAAGCAACAAAGGGATAATTTCTTCAACCATTGCGTCAAAAACTTCCTATTTGGATACCTTTAATACATCAAGAGCTCCACATCATTGACAAGAAGACCACAAGGCCATACCCTTACAGCCACTAAAAAGAAGCCATCTTCAAGTAATCATACTAGGAACATTGAGTATTTTCGATGCCAAGGAAGAAGATACATGGCGTATCAAGGTCCAACTAAGAGAACCATGATTCTCTTACAAAATGGGCATTATACAGAAGAAGAAAATGAAGGAGAAGTCAAGTCCATTAATGTTGAAAAAGAAGAAGAAGAATCAGCAACAAAGTCGAAAAATATACCTGGCCAAAAGCCAGCAATTCATCCTTACATTAGATAAAGAGAAAAACTCAAGCTCTACAAGATGAAATCTGGTACAAAATTCACTATTTATGTACCCAAACATTCTAATCTCATCTCGTAGTTGTTCTAGTGTTCTCAGTTGATCTCCAAAGCATCTTCTGCATCTTTCCTTCCATATGAAAGAGATGCTCCAGCACCATAAAGCCACTTCAACACTGCTATTGCAATCTCCTCGTTGGGCCTTACTACTCATCTAATTCGCCATATCGTACCATGAGGGAGTCAGGGTAATTGTCAGCTGCAGCAGACGAGAGATAAACTCAACAGTGTACCTGCATCCACAAAATAAGTGTTCTCTAGATTCCATGTCATAGTGACAAAGCACACACTGTTCATCATTCAACACACCCCATGACTTTAGTTTATCCTTGGTTGTAGTACGATCAAGAATGACAAGCCAGGTCAACACTCTGTTTCTTGGTAGAACATATTTATTCCAAATTAACCTCCACCATACCACCTCAGGTCTCTTTATGTCGAATAGCTTGCCAGATTGTTGAGATTGAAATTTGATCATCCGTTTACCTTGCCAAATAACACAGCCCTCATCATCAACATCCATCCTATAATGATACCATGGCCTTCTTTTCAGTATTTGCTTCCGAATCCAGGATCCTGTAGGTGGTATGGTGGATAAGATCCTTCAATCCCACACCCCCTTCCTGCTTTGGAACAACAAGGATCTCCCAAGCTACTTTTGCTTTCTCAGATTTCTCCCCATGCCAAAGAAAATCAGCACAAATCTTCTCGATTGACATAATCATCTTCTTAGGGAACACAAAAATAGTCATCCAATAGTGAATGATTGAGTATAACACAGAATCAATGAGCTGCAGCTTACATGCATAAGACATTTTGCCAGCTCTCCAACTTCTAATTCGATTAGTAAGTTTATCAATCAAAATTGAACATTCTCTACTAGTCAGCTTGCCTGAAATTAACGGGAGACCCAAATATCTCACAGGAAACTGTCCCTCTCTGAAACCAGACACCCATATAGCATTCTGTTTACATTGCTTAGCTTGTCCCTCAAAAAAGACTTCACATTTACTTAAAGCCATAGCCGAACCTTCTGTAAATATAAGAATACCATCTATGAAAACCAGATGGGTTAAACCTATATGCCTACATCGGGGATGAAAAGGTAGAGTTTTTGAATCAGCAGCTACATCAAGCATACCCGTGAGAGGTTCCATTGCAATAGTGAAAAGGTAAGGGAGATAGGATCCCCTTGCCTCACGCCCTTAGTGGCTTGAAAGAAACCGAACAAGCTACCATGAATCGTGATACTAAAATTGGCAGATGATAAACAAGCACGAATCCATTTACAAAATTCTCTAGGGAATCCCATCTTATCCATCACACACAACAGGTAATCCCAATGCACAGAGTCAAAAGCTTTCTTTAAATCCACATTCACTGCACTTCTAGAAGAAATGTGATTTCTATTATAGTTATGCACTCTCTTAGGCCATTAGCATATTTTTAAAATACTTCTCCCTTGAATAAAAACATATTGGTTTCTACTGATTATAGAAGGAAGGACTTTAATAATTCAAAATTAGATCTTATGTGGAATTTAGTACTTTTTAAGTATTTTTTCGCTGGCTAGGCGGTGACTTGACGTTGTTGGCCGTCAAACATAATGGTTAACAATCGGGATGGGTCAATTTCGTAAATTTGATGTATAATTGAGGACACAAAGTTATAAATTTAAATGATTGATCAGAATGTCGAATATGTGTAAAGTTCGGGCCAGAAGAAAAATATGAACCCAAAAAATTCTCCAAAAAATATTGAAAATGAATTTCATACTAGAAGATTCATAGGAAATTTAAAAAGTGTTCAAATTGTTGCCTGAAATCCGCATCTCGTACTCGTTAAATGTGCCATCTCTCCCAAAAAAAAAATATAATTTCCCTTCTTATTTTCTTATAATGTATACCACTATATCACTCTTTCTCCAAATTAATGGTTAGATGTTGAGTTATGTAGTACTACAAAACCTTGGGCTTTGTATCGGAGCATCAGTCGAGTTTTCATATATAGTCGGTTTGCATCAGTCACTATATCACTCTTTTTACCAGGCCCAAGGCTAATATGAGTCCATACAGTTGAGGCACAAAAAAGTTGTCATGAACTTCAAGTGCCAACTGCCGAGCCATTAGCCAAATCTAAATGTTGATCGTTGCATTTTCACAGTTCCAACTTCCACGAAAGGTCTATTTTTTGTTCCAGAAGAGTGTTTATTATGTTGCACATTTTGCCTATTCTTGAGAATGCTAAAGTTTTGTCCATCTCTTTGCTCTATTATGGATGTCATTGTTGTGCTACAAGAAGTTTTTCTTATTTTGCTCATCATCAGGATACTCATCTTATGCAAACTCATTGTCACCGCTTGTTTAGAGAATCTACTTACCAATTGATGGATTTGGTAATGTTCTTCTTAAGAATAGATCTTAGTGCATGTTGAACTCCAATCAATAACGAAATCGATCCTTTAGAATGTTGTCTTACAAGAATTGCAGCCAAAATACTAAATACTCGAACCAACCGAGCAAAGATCGTACAAATACGTGAAAGTGTAAACTTGGAGAGGATCCAAAGATAGATGAAAGCCATACACATTATACTCATTATTCATTCATATTCTCATGATTTAAGTACGATAATTGTCGAACCTTGTCCATCATCGTGTATGCTTTCTGAAGCACAAACAGTACGAGAATGAAACTCTGCTTCCATATTTATCATCCATTGCAGACCTGAAGGAAAGAAGTTAATTGAACAGATAGGTCTGAGGTTCAGCATAAAAGTAATGACTTTGCAACAAAACCTGAAGCAACTTTGTAAGCGAAGAAGCAGAAGTTTTGCTATCAAGGATATTGAGATTTGCAACTATTGATCTTTTACGCTTATACGGATAAGCATCTAGCATAGTTAGGAAGATTTTCACGGATGTCTTTAGAGTTTAGAAGGGGAGGGAAGCACCTTATACTAGACAGAGATGAGGTTCCCTGTTCTTCAAAAAAAAAATTAAATAAATAAACAGCATTACTCACCCTTTCAAGCTGCGCAACTCCTCCTTGGAGGCTTCATAAATTACTTCCAACAGTGTCTTTCTCAACTTGTTAAGTGATACCTGCATTCCAATTTCCAACTCTCCAGTGTTGAATTCTATTCAAGCTAGGAACAATAATAGCAAGCACGTAATGAGTATGCGATTAGATAGACATGTCATGGCCTCATGGGTAAAGTAAGACACTAGCTGCGCCTGTGCTTCTTCTGTTTTCCAGATTCTCAATTCATTTATTTGGGTTCTCTATGGCTTCCAGCATTCTGACTCACAAGCTATGACAGAATCAAAGTTATTGGCAATACACTGTCTTCTACTCTAGTTTTCAGTAGAATCTAGAAGACCCTTCTATTTCCCCATTTCTGAAATTCTTGTTACTGCTCTTATCTTTGCATTTCCTATTCTTTCCTCTAATTCAAAGCTCTCCTCCCAAGTCTCATCTTTAATTCAACATGGTTTCCTCCTTTAACATCTCAATGCAAATAAGAGACATGAAGTAATGTTACAGAATGACTGACCTGCCGAACCTGATTTATGGTCCTAATGCTGTGCCCATGCTATCTACTGAGATTGTTTGGCCAGCATCATCAGCATGTTTCCAGTTATAACACCATTGAATACGACTCAGCCATCCCACAATGGTTCCTTTACCAAGGAATTTATTTTTTTGTTAAGGAATGTAAGCACATCTTCCCTTCCTTCTTTCAGAAGTAATTGTCTTAACCTGCCAAATGTGGTACCCGAAGGTTGAATTCCCTTCTCGATCATGTCTTCCAACAACACGCAAGCCTGACTAACATCCCCTTCCTCGCAAAGTCCGTTAATGAGAACTGAAAAGGTATGCAGGCTAGGAACGAACTGTTTCACCTTCATGTACTTCCAGACTTTGAAAGCCAACTCCAGGTTCTTTCTCTCACAGAACATCTTTATCATCATTGTGTATGTGTCTGCATCTGGGTCACACACCTTGATCATGCTGCGGAAAACTGTAAAAGCTTCATCCGTCTTCCCACAGTCAATCAAGCTGTTTATAATAATGTTATAAGTTCTTGAATTACATGAGACACCCTTAGAGTCCATCTCCTTTATAACCCTGTACACGTTCTTGTGTTTGTTAACCTTGCAGAATGCTCCAATTAAAGCATTGTACACTGGAACATCAGGATATATACCTTCCTTTTCCATCTCGAGGAATGTTTCAACAGCATCTTCGATCCGTCCTTCTGTGCCATAAGTATGAACCAGAACGCTATAAATAAAAGGTGTCGGCTTACAACCCATATCATTCATCTCTCTTACAATTACCAAAGCTTCATCAATCCTCCCAGACTTGCAGAGAAGATTGACCATGATCCCATATGTGACAACATCAGGGTTACAACCGTTGTCAACCATTTCTCTGAAAATCTCCCTCGCCTTGGGGAGATTTGGAGCTCTCCCCCATCCCTCCAACAATATGCTATAAGTTTTCGAATCAGGGACAAACTTTTCCTTCATACTATCAAACAACTCCTGGGCTTTCCTCACATTCTTGGACTTGCAGAAAGCACTGAGCAAGCCATTGAAAGCTGCCAAGTTCTGGGGCACATCATATTTCTCCATTACATTGAACGCATACACGGCTTCCTCCACCTTTTGAGCCCTAGCATACTTCCTCATGATAATACAGAAGGTCTCGACATTCAACATCTTCTTGCTCTTCATGGCATTCACGACATCCCACATCACCCTGTATTGCCTTATCTTGGAAAGAGACTCTATCATGGTATGGTAAACCCGAACACTGTGTTCATAGTGCCTTTGCTTCGCCGCCCATTCGAAAAACCGAAATGCGATCATGCCCGCATTCTCGAATCTCTTGAGCACATCTTCGACAACTTCGGGAGAAACCCTAACCCCGCTCTGCTCCAGGGCGGTATCCAGAGTCACGGCAGTGGACGACATCATTATTTTGCATATGGTTTTCACTGGATCTGGTTTTTCAGCAGCTGAGGGAGTTGAACTGTAAGCTCTCATCCCCATACGCATTATGACGGGGCGATTCTGAAGCAGCATAGAGGAACACCGAATTCTCAAGACGTAAGGACTGTAACTGCCACAAAGAGATCGAGAACGGAGATGAACGAGACGGTAGGAACAGACTTTTGAAGAAGAGGTTGCGGGAGACGGTGGAGGAGGTAAGGCCGTAAGGGAAGGGAAGTTTTTGATTCTTGAGCAAATCTACATGTCCGATGTTTGCATTTCCCCCAAATTTTTTGGATGAAATAGGATGTAAACGAGTCGGACCGAAAAAGTTAAACTATTAATTGGTTTTTTTAAGTAGTAGTTCATTAAGAGTGCGAACGGGCTGAAGTCCAAATGGAAAAGTACAAGAAGATTACAATCAGATTTGAAAACCAAAACAAAAGGCCCCAAACGATCCGGGTCCAGAATCCAATAGGGCCCAGACCCAAAGCCCAAATAGAACAAGAATCAGCTTTCAAACCCTAATCGAAACCTACTCCTCTGCAATCCTCAATTGCCGCAGTCGAAGACCAGCATCGCCTCCTTGATTTGCTTGCAGCGCAACTTCCCACCAGCTACGCCATTGTGCACCAAGTAGAGAAAGCATCTTCCACCAACTCGGATGGAGGGACAATCCCACCCCGAGCTAATCGCTCTCCGCTTCCCGTCGCACCATCAAAGAGAAGACATTAGAGACGATCGGTTGGCCGGTGGAGGAAACAGAGGAAAAGCACTTATGTCTTCAAACTCATCTAGCCGAGTCCGACGCCATACGGTTGCATCTCCGAAACACCATGACCTGCAAAGTGAGACAAGGAGGTAGACTATGTATAGATGAGGAGAAAACAAGCCAGATCTGCATCAGATCCAACCACCTTCGCATCTTAGATCGATCATGATATGATCCAAATCCGAAGATAACCCTCGAACTCGGATTATAAGACCAAAGTACGCAGCTCCAACGATCTTTTCTTGATTTTCTTGAAAACGATCTTTTCTTGATTTTCTTGATTCTTTGATTTTCTTGATTTTCTTGACTTTCTTGATTTTCTTGATGCCGCCTTTCTTGAACTCGAAAATACAGATACTTGCGGAATCGATCAAACAAATCCGAACTCGTGAGAAGGGCCAGAAGGTATATGAAACCTTCCAAACAATCTCGAACCCGTGGAAGAGGCCAATCGATATCGTCGATGCTCGCCACAACTAGACGCGTTCTCTAGTTGATAAGAGACCACTCAAACCTCCCGAATCCTCAAAGGAGCGAATAAGCAAAACGTTCACTTGAACTTGTAAACACTTGTATTTGATTGCTGAAACTTGAATATTGGGTACCAAATTTGTAGCTCTTACATCCTCTATTTATAGAGGTCAAAAAACATAAAACTAACCTAAAAGGAATAGGAAAACAAATCCCAAACTAACTAGGAAACATAATACTACTTAAATAAGGACTATAACTCGTTTTTATGACCAAAGGAAGCTCCTTAGCAGCTAAGTAATCTCCAAACACGTTTTTAATGCTTAAGGAAGCTCCTTAGTGGTTAAGCAATCTCTTTCCTTGCCCTTTTCACATTTGGACGACTTGGGCAGCAAAAGAATGACGTTTTGGGCTCCAAGAAATTATGTAAGTTGGATCCTTAATGCATTCTCCATTTTATCCATCAAGAATGCTCCCAGTTGATCCTTAAATCGTTGAATTCGAACCTTCATTTTGGGACCACGAGAATTGAATATCGCGCTAGTCGATATCACATCATTCCCTCTCTCTTGAAGAAGATTCGACCTCGAATCTTTACAGAATCTTGATCCTCGATCAGCACCACTCTTGTTGACCTTTGAATTAAATTGTCTTGGTAGTGAGGATTGTATCAGATCACCATCTCCAGATCTGTAAACAAACATATCAGAGGCCAAAAGTACATCACACATATGTGTGTGTGGGTGGGTGTGGGGGGTTGAGGAACCCTAAAAAGGGATGGAAATCACCCAAGAACGGGCATAAAACACAACCAAATAAGGCAGACAAGGAAAAAAAAGGAAGGAGAACAAGTAAAACAGGAAGTGCAAGGAGAAAAGGAAAACACAGAGGGGCAGAGGGCTGCCACCGGTCGCCGGAAGGACGCCGGCCACAGCCCCACACTGTCAATACGATTAATCACCTAGAGAGAAGGCAAATAAAAAAGAAAGTAGCTTATGCTTACACGGTTTGGTTATGTTTTCTTAATAGATACTTACACGGTTCAAATGCAATTCAAGAGGGTCAGGAGCGATAGAATGGGGCGAGAAAGACAGGCTCACTTAAGTGAGCTGTGTGGGCCTTTTCCCCCAAGCCAATTCAAGGAAGGAGTTGGACTGAGTGGCTACGGGCTCACCAAAATTTGGGTGGGATTTGAGAGAAGAAGAGGATGGGGACGAAAAAATGGGAAAAGAAAAAGGAGAAGTGATGGGAATTAAATGCCCGAACAATTTTTTTTTATCTCTCCCAACCAAATCAATTTCCATCATTAAACTAATGTTTATCAAACCTCAAAATAACTCAACTACCAGAAACTGATTACACCAATTTATGATTTAGTGTTTAGGATTTAGGGTTTAGAGTTAGGTTTCGGGTTTTGGTTTAGGACTTAGAGTTTAGGGCTAGGGTTTCAGGTTTTGGTTTAGGGTTTAGAAGACGATATTGCGCAAATGTTTATGAGCACAATGTAAGGTGGTTCGAGGTTTAGCGTTTAGGATTCAGGGTTTATAAGACGATATTGCGGAAATGGTTATGAACACAATGTATGGTGGTTCGATATTTGCATGTGGTGATAGGATATTATTTTGTTATGGGAGGATATTAGTTTGCGATGTGTGGATATTTGTATGTATAGTCAGATATTAGTCTGCGACGGTCACATATTTGTCCATGTGGGGTGAATATTTGTCTATTATGGCGAGAATAATAATTTTGGTATGATCAGATATTAGTTTGAGAAGGCCGGATATTAGTCTGGGTGGTGTGGATATTTGTTATGGTGAACGAATATTAGTTTGCGACGGTCGGATATTAGTCTGGTGGTTTGGATATTTATTTTGTGTGGATGTATATAAACTGAATTTGTATCATTGAAAACTTATTTTACCATTTAGGATTTAGGTTCAGGTTTTGGTTTAAAGCTTAGGGTTTAGAAGAAAATATTGTGGAAATTATAATGAACACAATTTAGGGTGATTCGATATTTAACTGTGATGATATGATATCATTGTGTATGGAGGATCTTAATCTATGATGTGTGGATATTTGTGTTTGTAGACAGATATTAGTCTGTGTGCAGTGGATATTAGCAGATTGGGCTACTAGTTCGTGCATTTTGGATATTAATTTTACTAGGCTAGATACGAGTTCTCTCGGCTGGCTTGATTCGCAGTCGAGAAGCCACAAAAATCCACTTAAATAAGCCCTTCTTTGAGCCATTGAGCCTCAACCCTTGGATCTCACATCCCCCATGTGGTCTCCCATCTTACCCTATAAGTATATACTAACAAAAAGTCATGTTAGTAGAATAACTAGATTTGAGACAGACATGACCATCCCCGCCAATACCAACCTTTGCACTTAAGTACAAAATGATAACAAATCTTTAATTTATAAATGGTCACAAAAAAGAATTATATTCTATTTGGTCACAAATTTTTGACCGAATATCAAAACAATAATTCTCTCACCCTCCATTCCAATTTTGTCTCTCTTGCAAAATTATTAATTAAAAAATTCAATTTAATATATGAAACCAACCTAGACTCAAACCGATCAAAAGCTGATCAAACTATATCTCAATAGTTCCCACTACAGTTGCGCTCCTTCCACCCTCGTGTGTTTCCTTTTCCTCCGCCTCTATCATCCGTCACTTGGAGTGGGCATGTGGATGGGTAATCCGCGATTTAGGTAATCCCGCAAATAACTCAAACCGTAGTGGATGGGTGATTGATGTGGGTGGATTGTGGATCAATAAATCTCCTACCCTCAGTTGATTGTTGAAGCAGTAGCTCTGGATCGAGAGCTGGATGTTTACCTTATTATTTTATTACACTTATCGAGTGGGTGATGGGTGGGTTGCGGGCGCGATCTTCTTCATGGAAGCCGTGAACTTGAGACGTTGTCGTTTCATCCTTCGGGGATGAGGAGTTCGCGGGCTGACTTCGCGGTCGTGATCCACGAGTCGCAACCGCGAACTTGGCCGCGGTTAGTTTGTACTTCGGTCGTGTTCTGCCTGGGGAAACTCTCTATTTCTCCTCGGCTGCTTCCTCACGAAGTTCGCGCCCTGAGCCCTCCAATTCGCGGCCGCGATCTTGGGCTTCCTAGCTGCGATCTTCGGGTTGACTTCGCAAGCATGGTTCTCGGTCGTGATCTCTGGCTCCAGGTTGCTATCTTCAATCTTCTGACCCATTAGCTACACTTGTGACCTTATTTTGTACCTAATTCGCATGTAATGTATAAAACACCCTAACATCACACTGAAATCAAATAGGGATGCAATTGACACTGTTCAAACAATTATGCACATGAATTGACACGAAACAAACCTTAATATGAAGGATAAATAACACCGATTTAGGTGTTATCAGAGCTTCTAAAAATGTGTAATTCTCACTGCTTCCTTGTGGATGTCACTGTATGATCGTGACATTCGATAATTTCTTCACTTTGTCCCGGTTTTGTCTCCAATTGGTTCGACAATCCTCCTGTTGTCATATTCACTTGCTAGGAACTTCAATAAGTTCATTCCATAACGGACCAGACCGGAATAGGCTTATATACATTCTCATTATGAGAAGGGGTCATTCGAGCTAAATAGATACTATGTTTACATATGGATCCTTCATTCGTTACATTCCATTTAGGATTAGGAATAGGCGTAATCGGACCCAAGAAAAGGAAAATTTGTCCATTTTTCAAGGTCTTCTCTTACCCGCATCGAATATAACATGCTGAGCCAAAGCCAAGTCTTCTTCATGGAATGCATGCTTTATTTAGATCGGAAAAAGCATACGCTTTTACGAAACCATGTGTTATGGCTCGAATCCGTAGACAATCCTATTTCCGATAGGAGCAATTGACAATTAAATCCAAATTTTCCCATTCTTTTCATATCGGTAATAGTGTGAAAAGAAGACCTTTCTCTGTGGAGGTAGGAAAATCATGATCGGGATAGCAGATCCAAAGCTATGGAACTTGGGTGTGGGTCTTTTGTCGAAATAGAATGGCTTTATTCTTGCATGAAACAACCTCAAGAACAATGAATCACAAGTCAAACAATCAAGGAAAATGGGCGTAAATGTGTATAATTAAGCCTGAATTCGTGATCAAATCAATATAATGAGGATTAAACTGAGGTCACAATTCTTTATTAATGTGGAATGTCTACCTATAACTTAATTAGGGTGAATTAGATCGCATGTTGTGTGATAATCGAATAAGATCATTTGGATGAGTTGATGATATGAATACTTGATTATCTTATATGAAGTGTATAATTCTCTATGATGTACCATAATGTCTCAATTCATAAATGCGGTACTGATGCTCTAAAACACAACACCTAACAATGGCGAAGTGTAACCAATGAAAGGGACTGCAGTATAGTGGCACAAGTAATAAATATCGAATCCACGGGTCTCTAGAGTTACTATTACTCAGCTTCAGTTCATTATCTAGCAAACTAGATTAAGGATTGATTAACTAAACTACTCTACTAACTAAACTAAGGAAAACTACTAATTAAGGTTTGGGAACTCACTTAGGTATGATTCCCCCTAGCTCCTCAATTAGGTCCAAGTTGTAATTCCTTTTGGTTGATTTACTGTTGATTAAACTGCGGAAGATCCGATAGTAGATTGGAATCTCTTAAGCTGACCAAGCCCTCTCAGTCTAACTATCCGGCAGACGACTAGTCTTCACCGGGATAGAAAGCTGAAGCAATAAGCACAGAACTCCACTACTGGAATTGGATTCCAGTACAAAGCAGTAAACTGGCTAACTCTCGTATAGCCAATCTCCTACTACCGAATAATGAGACTCTAGCAACCTAATCAGATTCTATCTATCTCAGATTGCAGCAGGAATCAGGAAAAGTTGATCAGACTTCAATTGACTCAATAAACATGCATCATTTGATTATAATCAAAAAATATAGCATCCAAAACTTCATACAAGAAAGATCCTAACTCATGGAACTAAGGTTCCTCAAAACCTAAGTGAAGGGAAGTTACTCCATAGAGAAGAGAGAGACTGCAGAAATCCGATCTAGATCTTCAATCTCCATCTCCAAGCTTGATTCCCGAGCTCCAATGGCGAAGAAATCCTCCAAAATAGCTCCAAGAATGTTCCCAAGTCGCTCTCTCTCTCTCTAGGGTTCGCCCCTTGGGTGTTTGGGATCCAAAACCCAGCTCCCCCCTTTCCTTTTGCTGAAAATCGGGTTTTAAACAGCAATTCCCAACTCACACGGCCAGGCCACACGGCCGTCTGGCTTTCCCAGCTGCCCGTGTGAAGGCTCGGTGATTTCCACACGGCCACATGGCCAGGTCACACGGCCGTGTGGGTTGTGCCCGTGTGGCTTGCTCAGCCTCTGTTTAATGCTTTATTTCTCCCTCGTCCGGACTCCGAATCAGTCGCCGTTTGATCCCAGACGCTTGTAGTCTCGTCCTCTTTCTTTTCATGACAAGCTTGCATGATTCTTTGTCCATAAAGTGAGGTAGAAATCCATTCTTCTTCAGGTCATACCCGAGTTTCTTCTCCCGAATCGTCAATTGATCTCTGATTGACTTGAAACTTGCGCCTATGCTTCACTTTATGTGCTAGGACCTGAAATGTGACAAAGGAACACAACCTAGCGTAAAATAGGCCAAAGAAACGATAATTCAAGCTCAAACAATCAAGAAACAAAGGGGAAAACATGTGCAAATACCGAGTCATCAGGTACCCCTTTTTCTTGCCGCATATCCTAAGGACATCCTTATTTGCCCCCTTTCAAACTTATCCAAGAGAGCATGTGTGTCTTTGTAATAGACCAAGCAACCAAAAAAATCAAATGACGATAGGTGGCCAATCTTTTAAATAGAAGTTCAAATGGGGTATTTCCCGTAGCTTTAGTAGAAATTCAATTGATAAGAACAAAACACATTCTCCTCAAAACCTAAGAGGGAGGCTAGCTTGGGAACATAATGCTCGAGTATATGTCGATGTTTTATTTTCACCACCTCGTTTTGTTGTGTCAAGTATATGCTCTCGTGCATAATAGGTGGGCAACGCCTCTGTATTAAACTCATAGCCATTATCTGCTTGAATGTGCTTAACAGAAGTCCCAAACTGAGTTCGTACCATTTGACATAATTCCAGCAGTTGGCGCTCAACATCCGACTTATAACGCAGCAAATAAACTCAAACACCGTGAGTGAAATCGTCCACGAATGTTAAAAAATAATGAGCACCACTAAAGGATGCAATCTTATAACCACACCAGAGTTCCACATGAATGAATCCAAATCTTGTCATAATCTTAATCATGCTAGACCGAAAAGGAATACACGGTTATTTGGCCTCGAACAAGAGTGACATGGGTATTTATTTGAATGAAAATAAAATGATAACAAACTAGCAACATATGAATGTTTATCTGGCGAGGGATGTCCCAACTGTGCATGCAAGTCAACCTCTACCACCGAATCTCTTCGCTGAGCTGTGCAAGTCTGTGTTCTCCCAGTTTCAAATAAACACATGTAATAAAGGCTACCATAGACTTCCCCTTCCTAGTCAATTTCTTGGAACATAAGTCCTGAATGACGCAAAAATATCAAGGCCTTATGATTATTTCATTAGTTTACTCATAGAAAACAAGTTAGATGGAGATTCGATGACATGGAGAACTCTACTCAAACAAAAACTAGGCTGAAGAACTACTATACCCACATGTTTCACCGGAATACTTTCACCATTTGGGATTCATACTGGTTCAATGTTGACGTTAGTTTCTTTACCAGATAATAATGATTAATCCATGGTAATATGATCATTTACAAAAAGGCTTAATTGCAAGTTTGGTCACCCGAATTGCTTAAAAATTTCACGTTTGCCACCCGAATTGATTTATTCCATTTATAGTCACTCGAATTAGTTGAACAGTCCAAGTTCGGTCACTCTCCGTTAACCTCCGTTAGACTCCGTTAATGACGACCGTTAAGTGATGACGTGGCTAACAGAAAGACACAGTCAGCCCATTTAAACATTAAAAAACGAAGACCCGACCCGACCCGCCAGCTCAGCCTTACCCGCCCAGTCAGCCATTCTTGCCCAAACCCGCCAACCAACCCAATTAATTGACCCTAAACCCAACCCCACACGAGAAACAACACATACTTCGGAAAAATTCATTTCAGAGCTTCTTCCACTCCCCATCCGTTCATCTCCCAAACCCTAACAAATTCTCAATCTCTCTAGATATCCCGCTGCCGAGATCTCAAATCCGGCGAGATTTCCCAATCAATGTGACACCGCCCTCATTAGTACTCATTCAAATCTCCACCTGGATCTCATTTTTGTTCTCTCTTGCATGAGCATTTGGAAATAAAAAAATGGCTTCAGCTTGCGTCAACAACATCAGTGTTTCACCGGAGAGCTTCCCGCCGCCGGGGACGTACTCCTCTTACGGCTGGCTGAGTCCTCGCATCTCATTCAGCCGCGAGGATGATTCCTCGTCCAAACATCACCACCAAAAACAGCCGCCGCCGCCCTCCAAGCGAGCTCCGACTATTTCTCCTCCTCCTCCGCCTCCGATGGCTGCGATTCCGCAACCGGAGCAGCAGCAGCAAGATCTCCTACCGGACTTCGAGTTCCGCCTCGACGACCCCGTCGCCATGCTCCCCGCCGACGAGCTCTTCTCCGAGGGGAAGCTGGTGCCGATGCAGGTCACGAGCTCGAAGCCTTGGTTGTCGACGGCAACTTCGGCGGAGTTTTTGGCCGGAATCGCGACAACAGTGGAGGCGAAATCTGGCCGGAGGATGGAGATGGAGCTACCTGGCGGGATCAACAGTACAACTGACCAGTACTTGTTCTCGCCGAAGGCGCCTCGATGTTCGAGCCGGTGGAAAGAGATTCTGGGGGTGAGGAAGTTTTATCAGAACAACAGCTCCAAGGCGGCGTTGTTTCCTTCCTCGTCGTCTTCTTCCAACAATAACCAGAAATCATTGAGGCATTTCCTCCATAGAAGCTCGAAATCCTGCAACAGCTGCGACAATTCCTCTTCCAATTCCTCGCTCGATGGTACCCTGAGTCTTCCATTGCTGAAATCAGACCTGGACTGTGACTCGTCGGTTTCCCTCTCTTCATCCCGCTTATCGCTCTCATCCTCGTCATCCAGCCACGAGCACGAAGATCTCCCCAGACTCTCCCTCGATTCGGAGAAGCCCAATGCCGCTTCCAATTTGAGCCTGACATTCAACCCTTTGCAGAATCCGAATCCGTTCGTTCTGAAATGAATTTTTCCACCATTGTTAGAGGTGAAGTAGTGGGGGGCTAGATTCAGGGGGGGTTGGGTCTCGGGTTTGGGTTTAGGGTCAATTAGCTGGGTTGGTTCGCGGGTTTGGGCAAGAATGGCTGACTAGGCGGGTCGGGTCGTCGCTTTTTAATGTTTAAATGTGCTGACTGTGTCTTTCTGTTAGCCACGTCATCACTTAACGGTCGTCATTAACGGAGTCTAACGGAGGTTAACGGAGAGTGACCGAACTTGGACCGTTCAACTAATTCGAGTGACTATAAATGGAATAAATCAATTCGGGTGGCAAACGTGAAATTTTTAAGCAATTCGGGTGACCAAACTTGCAATTAAGCCTTTACAAAAATAATCATTTAACCACTCAGACTTGTCAACAATAATACCTGCCATGTGAGTTGTGGGATAGCGATCGTCCATTAATGTTTTATCCGGGAGACCAAAGAACTGTTTGAGTTGAGTAGTTGACCAACTATAAAACTAGCATTGAGACTTTGTGTCGGACTCTAATTGTGATGCCTTAGGCTCTAGGTTCAATCCATCTCTTGTCCCATCATTTGGATTGCAAGGTCAACGTCTCTGCCCGCTGCATTGTTTGTCTCGAGGCGGATATCTGACCAACTCAAAACAGGTCTCCTTATAGTGTCCAAGATTTTGGCAGTGAATGCAATGGGGTCATTCTCGTTGCTTCCCCATGCTACGGGAAGCACAATTTGGTTCACCTTCGGCCATGAACGCTGCTTCTTTGGGTTGGGATTTTGTGATTAGAGAGATTAACTTTTGCTACTCGATGTTGAGAAAATATTGAAAGCTTAAGACATATTTGGGGTTGGCTTCATGGCCAAAACTTGTGTACATACATCACCAAAAGCATCCTCATTGAGGCCCATTATGAATTTAACAACCTTGAGCTCTCATGTTGCTCACACACTCTGTCTTGAGACACCAACTCCGCAATGGCATGATCACTAAAGCTGCTTCCTCCCATAGAAAGTGCAACCGAGTATAAAATTAGGAGACAAAACGCTTCTCTTGCTAAAGAAGAGTGATAAGGCGACACAACTCATAAGCACGAGAAGAACTTCCATGACCAAAATGCTCACTGAGATTGTGAACAAATCTCGCGAGCATGCTTGGCAAACCGATTCGCCATAGTTCGTCAACGTCATTACCTGTCCTACTAGCATGCCTCTTGGGCCATTCGTGTTGATGAGTTTATAAATGGAAGGGAGATAAGGTTCTGAGTTGATGGTGACGTGAGGTTGACCTTGACATTGAATACTTCGTTGGGACCCATGTTGAGCAAAGTAATCGATTCACCTGGAGCTTACAACTCTGATACTATGAAAAATAGTACGAGAAACATAAAGAAGACTTGGTTTAACATGGTTTTACGTTATAGTAGGTGCGGCTTACATCCACGATAAATGTGCGATGATCTTACTGAGATATACGGCTCAAAGCCATACACCTCTTTTTATAGGAGGTGGAGGAGGGTAAGTTTGAGGAGGATAATAGGGCAAAGTAATTGGAGGGAAGGTAGTTGGTGGTGATCAATCAAATTCGAGTTAGAGTTTACATTGCGATCGGGATGAGTAGTGTTGTAGGAAGATTTTGATGGAGAGGGGGAGGGGATGAGTCGTTTTTTGTTGTCAGAAGATTAAAAATTGTCATAAAAGGATTAATGACATGACACAATCAAAAAATTGAGCTAAATTACACGTTTGGTCACTCAAATTACATAAATCTTTCACGTTTGCCACCCGGATTACTTTTCTTTCTTATTCAACACTCACTTTACGAATCATTTCACCGTTGGTCACCAACCGTTAGTTTCCGTTAGACACCGTTAACTCCGTTAGTTTTTTGATGATGTGGCAAACAGAAATGCTGACTGGACCGTTAACTTAGTGACATGTAATTTTTTTTAAAAAAAATAATAAATTTGACCACCTGGTCAGCCTCACCCAACCCAATTAACACTTCCATTTCTAAATTCCCTTTCCTCTTCCATCCATCGCCGACCTCGTGAAATGGAGCCATCGCCTTCCACTGCCTCGCCGGCTACAACCACCGACGGGTCTAAGCTGACTCATGTAGTAACGGAGGCCAGATAATCCCGCGCCCTTGAACCAATTGTCGCCATCCTCCGCCTCAGAACACCGTTCTCTCTCAGAAGTCGCGTCTTTCGAATTGGGGAATTGGGGATCCGGGTCAGAGAGAAAGAGGGGCGGAGACGATCCGTCGTCGTCGCTCGCCACCATCAAACTCTATTGCCCACAACAAAAATCCCCTTCCTCCGCCGCCCTCAATTTCAATCTCAACCACGACGACTCATCCCCCTCCACAATAGACGGCGAATTGGACGCAAAGGGGTGATGATGATAGAAAAGGAAGGGATGTTTGAGAAGTCATCGATTCCATCCGAGGTGGGGAAGCTGAACAGGCCGGTGAAACCGAAGCAGCACGCGAAATCTCTCCATAGAGTATGTTACCCTTGAAGTTGGCATCGCTCAGCTTCTTAACCGCCAGCAAGCTACTCGAGATTTTGCTGGTAGGGATTTGGCCGGATAGCAAGTTGTGGCTGGGGTCGATAGACTGTACCAATGCAAGATTGAGTGATTTAGGGACGAAGATGGTTCTGGTAAGGGAATTTCGAGAGGAGCTGGAGGTTTGGAGGGTCGACAATGAAGGAGGGATTGAGACATCGAGGTGATTGCTGGATAGGGAGACGGAAGCGAGATGGATGTTGCCTAAGCTCGGATGGATGGGACCTGCGAGGGAAGATAGCTTCACATAAGGTGGCATCGGCTGTGGGGGAGATGGCGGGATCCCCAACACCAGCTTCAATTGCGAGATCCACAGCTAGCGGTAACGCTCCCAGATCTGGCAGAGGCGAGCTTGATGTTGTTGCCCGCGATCAACACGGCGACGGAGTGGCGCTTCCTGGACAAAGAACAGAGGAAGGTTGAGAGGAGGTCTCGAGGGTTTGGGGATTTCTTTCAGATGATTCGGACGTCGGCGAGTGGAGGAGAAGAAGACGTGGAAGGGTAAGACGAAAGAGGGGATGAGGATTGTGATTTGATTTTCTTTTTCATTTTAGCTCTTAAGAAAATGTAGAAAAATTAAATATTAAGTTTTGGTCAATTGGATTGGATGAGGCTGACTAGGCGGTCAATTTGTATGACTCAGCCTTTTTGTGAGCCCACTCAGTAGTTCTGTTTGCCACATCATCAAAAAGTTGACGGAGTTAACGGAATCTGACGGAGATTAACGGCCGGTGACTAACGTTGAAACAATTCGTAAAGTTAGTGGCGAATAAGAAAGAAAAGTAATCCGGGTGGCAAACGTGCAATATTTATGTAATTCGAGTGACCAAATGTGTAATTTAGCCCAAAAAATTGTATTGGTTGCCACGCCACTATATATTTATCACATCATAATAATTAACGAAAATCATTAGAAAGTTAACTATTTTTTTTATTAACTTACTTATTGTATATAGTCCTTTTACTATACTTTAAAAGATTGGTATTTCGAGACATATACATTGAACTTGTACCATAATGTTACATGTACAACTTTAGTTTGTACCATAACATAGAGATACAAATTCAATTTGTACAAAAAGGTATATGTACAATTTGAAATTGTAACATAATTTTAAAGGTACAAGTTCAAGATACAAAACAAAAACAAAAAAAAACTAAAATACGCATGCTTTGAAGCATGGTAAAATTCATTTTAATCGTATTTCAAAAAGTCAAACTTAACAATGTTGGACTATTAAATTGTTGTAGTTGTGGGTTGCTTATTACATATCGAAAACAATTCTTGCATCGATAGATCAACTTTTGATCGACTACCGTTATTTACTTTTTCAACTATTTGTACTCTCCTATCCATTTATAATACTGTGGTGGTGACTATTTTTAGTTATAGTCAACTTTTACAAAGAGAGAATTCACACAATTCTTATCCCATGTGCTGTTCACAAAGAAAATACAAACAAGCAAAACAAAAAGTAAAAAAGGTGCTTCCATGATCCATCCAACGGTCCAAACCCTCCATGATCAAATCCGCGATACGGAAGCGAAACTTTCATCATGCGGGCCCCGCCACCACCAACCACACGGGGGCGCTCAAAAGGGAGAGATTTCTTTTTCTCGCCCCTCCCTCAACTTTCATAACCGCTTTTCCCCTCACACACACTGACACACAATTTATCCCTCCCATCCTCTGCTCTCCGCATATTTCACTTTCTCTTCAGTCTTCTCCTCCAATCACAAACTCCATTTCCAACTCTGCTCAGAAAATGACGAAGCTCAGATCAGGAAGAAACCTCCGCTCTAAGATGACGACTGACCTGCTGCCTCCAGCAGCTGCGCCACTGAAGAAGAAGACGCGAACGCAGCGGCCTCGCCGACTTCGATCTCGGATCTCTCCAATTATCTTGTCATCGTCCAACTCTGCCGCTCTTCCGCTCAAGAAACCCGGCCGGACAATTAGTACAGCGTTGTCTGTGGATTCCAGTTCCTGCTCTCACCAGGTCGGTTACGAAGTCTCGTGCGGCCGGACTGGCAGAGGCGGTGCTGATTCTGCTGCCGGCGTGGATGCTGAATTGAATCGGAATAAGAGGAAATTCGTCGAGAGTGGAGATCCGGAAGAGAGGCCTGGACCTGAGCTAGCTGCGGGGAGGATCATCACGAGATATCACCGCAAGCGGAGGCAAGGTCCGACGTCGACGGCCGAGAATGCAGTGACGGAGGTGAGCGAGCTGTCTTGTGCGGCTTCGAATTCTGAGATTGGCGGTGCTGTCTCGGTAGAGACAGCTCGGGAATGTAAGAACGAAGCTGGTGATTCAAAGTCGATTTCCGAGTCGGACGTTTCAATCGATGTGCGAAATCTGAGAAGCAGTAGTTGCAGAGAGTCCATGAAATTCTGCGCGGAGATGAGAGAGAACGAGGATGGCGTTTCCGAAGCTCATGAGTCGTGCATGACGCATAAATCTGGAGTCGGAGCCGCGGAGCGCTCTGATGTGTTCAAATACGAAGCTGATGCGGTCTCTGTCGACGAGTCGGCGGTGGTTGATCAGAGGCCAAACAGCTTGGCGTCGCTCGAAGAGGAACTCGCTTGTTTGGAGCAATTCTCTTGTGATGAAGTCACATCGGATTTCTCGTCCGGTCACGACACAGCATTCTCTGAGCTTCAGTCCGATGCCTTCCTGGATAGCTTCTCAGAGCTAGATTTCTCCTCCGATTACACGCCGTCCATCTTCTTGGATACCGGAAGCCAATTCTCTCAGAAATCAGATAGCGAGTCTTCTCCTTCGCCTACTTACTGCTGCCTTCTCGAGTTTAGGCAGCAATTCTGCCGGTCAACTGCTCCTCTGCACACCAGAACATCTGCTCCCTTTGCAACAGAGTGCCTGAACGAGTCCAGCGTAATAAGTTCTCCTCTGTTATTTTCAAATTTCGACTTTACTTCTCTGCTCTTGTCCTCCATTATTCTGGCATCATCCGTTCTCGTGTTTGATTCGCTCATTGCGTTCTGTTCTAGCTTTCCTTTCCAGTAGGAAAATTTAGTTTGGTGCCTCTCTTCACCGTGTAGTTCCTACTATTCAAATTACTGATAAACGAAGAAGCGTCGAGTTCCCTCGGCTTTGGTATCTATGAATCTGGAATGCTGTGAAATAATCGTTTAATTTTTCCCAAATTTCAAGCTATAGAATGAAACGATAATCTGTTTCTGCGTGGTAACGCTTTCGCGATTTAGTATGCAAGATTCAAAGATGGGGACGATGAGCAGAGTTACAAGATGTTGAGGGGAAGAGAGAGCAGGAACCTAAATCTACATGACTATGCTGAATTCTACCGCTCCACGACGGAGTATGGCGACCTAATTTCCCAGCAACGGTTGCGGATGGTTGATTGGATTATCGAGGTGAGTTTCTCTGTCTTCTGCTTGCCGTGCTTTGTTCTTGAGTCATAATTAATTTGTCCCAGCATTTCTCCTTCCTCTAATCCTCAGTATCAGGCGAATGTGACACGCTTCTTCGGTTTCCTAGTCTTATTACCATTCCATTTATAGCTGCCTACCAGAACTAGCATTCGGTAGCCAAGTAGATGTGCTTTGCTCATTTTCGGTCTTAATTTCGAAGCCTTATTCTGTCTAGACGTGCTTTGCTCATTTGCCACTTGGAACCTTCGATTTGGAGTCGCGGAATGCCAGTAGCATGACTCTGTGCTGCTGTTATAGCATATCATTTTCCAGGCGGGTCTCGATATAGCTTTTAATTCTTCATATTTGGAATGTTCGATCTGTGAATAATGAGCAGGAATCAGCTGCAAAAGAGCTCCATCACGAGACAACATTCCTCGGGGTCAGCCTGCTTGACCGGTTCCTTAGCAAAGGGTTTTTTGGTAGTAAAAGGAATCTCCAAATTGCTGGAATAGCATGTCTTACACTAGCTACCCGGATTGAAGAAAATCAGCCATATAACAGGCAATGAATTATCTCAACCTAGTCTCATTCGGCCATCCATGTTCGATCCCAAGCATCAGTTTATCTTCCAGATATTGTTGTTATGACTGGTGAAATAATTTTGCTTCCATTTTGGTTTGAACAGCGTGAGGCAAAGCAATTTCCGCGTAGGAAAGCATGCTTACAGTAGATGTGAAGTAGTGGGCATGGAATGGCTGGTACAAGAAGTCCTCGACTTTGAATGCTTCTTCCCCACAGTCTACAACTTCTTGTGGTAAATTCATGCCACAACATCGACTATCTATCAGCTATTCTCCTCCTTGTTCTCCTGATTCACGTCAATTTCCCTAATTCACAGGTTCTACCTAAAAGCTGCTCGAGCTGATGCAGAGGTGGAGCAGAGGTCCAAGAATCTAGCCCTGCTGGCAATATCAGACCAGGAGCACCTTGAGTATTGGCCCTCAACGGTTGCTGCAACACTTGTCATCCTAGCTTGTCTAGATACCGGCCAAACTGCCCATTACAAGGGCGTAATTAAGGTACGCACCTCACTCATGTATTTTAACTGTAGTGCAAAGTATCAACTAATTTCATAGCGTTACAAACATTTTAAACCAATCAGAGCATTTCTGCGATTCACACTTTCTGATGAATCAACTTCTCCATTATCGTGCAGCTACATAACAGAACCAAAGCAAATGATCTGCATACCTGCGTACAGGTACATGTTTACAAGAAGCCATCTGTCCAACACTTAACTTCTTTGCACCATTTCTGATTTTGCTGCGCATTTGGGATCCCAGTTCACTAATTAGTGGATTTGCTTACTTCTTGTGACAGCGACTTTTTAGGCTGCTACAGAGAGTAGACTATCACAGTGCCACCGGTAAAAAGTAGTTGCAGGCCTTCCCAACTTTAGCTACAAAGAAAGATGATTTTTGCATACCTCATCAGATGGCATTTAAAAACCAGACTGGAAAAGGTGGGAAGCAACATAAACCATTTGTTTTTCTGGATGTTGTCGTTAAGGTAGTAGAGGGTCAAAACTTGAAAAGAATAGCATAATGGACGACGGGTATTCGGTGTCGTTATGGGTGTTGTTATTACTTATTAGTAGTAAGCAAGCTTTCTTGGCTTCTCTCTATCTCAGTGTGCGTCTATCTTGTACAACAAATTTCACTCTATTTCAGCCAACCTAGTTTCAGTTCGCTCTTGATTTGCATTCAACAAATCAGATGATCGTTGAAACATAGCCTTCATTGCACCACCAGTCATGCCAACACTTTTTAAACAACTCACGAACCATTTTGATTCACACATTCTAAGTTGCAAACTTCACCAATCACTCACTCACGTGTTTCACTTATTGATGTCACTCTTTTTCTTATCTCTTGTGTTTGCACTAAAACAAAATGTTTTTTTTTTACTTTTCGATGTGCTCACATACTCCTTTTCTCACTCTTCAATCAACATCTTAGTTCACAAGTAAACGGAATCAAGCAAATTGGCAGCATATGATCTGTTTCATCTTTGTTGTGTTTATTCCTACCTTATGCCATGACATTTACCACGTTAATGGGCAACGATGGGAACCCTAAGGATGTCTCCTTTGAGGAAGTCGATGCAATTCGATCTATTGAGGATCGATGGTGAGAGACAATCATGGCATTCTCATCCGCCCACGAAGTCTGGTTTGAGAATGTATCATTTGAAGATAGTCCTTATCTTATGTACACAGTCGAATCGATAATAAACCAAGCACATAAATGAAACATAAGAAATAGATGAAATCGATCTCATAGGTATCCAAATCAAGAGTTTACATAGTCAAAGAACTTCTAGGGTTTGCCAACCTACGCAAGCTAGGAACTAGATGCTCATGGGGGTAGATTTTTGGGGGAACATCGGTCGAAACGAGATCCCTGAACAACCTTGAAATCGCCGGTCAAAACACAAAATTACTGGGTAAGTTGCTATTACTGGTGCCGATTTACCTGTCGAGTTTGGTTTCGTTCTAAGACAAGTGAGTCCCTCTATTGGCAGAATAACAACCTTTTAATGCCCCTATCGTTGGCTGTCAAACTTCTACCTCTAGGGCCCTATTTGTAAGTACAAGCAACATCATACAATCACAAACTATTGATTAGTTGAACCGTTCTTGTTCCCTATGTTAAATAAGTGATTGCCTCATGCGTTGTCACATTTACCCCACATTTTATTTGTGGAGGAAACTTTATTCCACTTTGTCATATAGGATTTTAAAATGTATATAAAAATATAATTCAAACTTAGATCACCTAATTCGTGCCTACCACCCCGCCACTCCGCTCCCGCTCCAATTCGATAAAACGCGATTTTCTTGCAAAACGTCCATAATTCGCGGATTTATAATTTTGGGAGCGAATTCCTAAATTAAGAACGCGGTTTTTGGTTGCTGGTCGGGGTTCCAGAGTCCAGACTCTGTGTGTGTCTCTCCTTTCCGACGATGGGTTCTAGAAAGAGCAAAGATGTTGCTCGCCTTCCATTGATGTCGTTGTGACAAAGGTACAGAGGCGACAACATGGGAGGGGTGTCAAACAGATATGAAGCAGTGAAAGAGGGAAGGGAATGGCATGCAGAAATAGAGGGTGTAAGTGCAGCCGATCCTCATAACACAAGTAGCAAATGGCATGATCACGCTTAAATCAAATCTCCCTACTACCAAAGTTCTCAATATCATATTACTGCCCATTGTGACCCTGTGGCACTACAGCTGGTGGCTGCTGACCTCTAGTGAAGGCTTCTCAAGCATCCAAGCGAGGGCTCAAACTCTGCCACAACTAATGTCGCTCCTGAAGTATCAAGCTATTAGTCTCGACCCTAGTGTAAAAGATGTCAAACTGGGACTCCATGTAAGCTTTGGAGCTCATCATATGACACCCAATATCGAGATAACATGGATACTAGTTCATCTGTAGCGAAGGAGGGGTGAAAAAGAGGTTCAGGAACCGTCAGTCAAAGGAGCATAACATCATAGCAAAGGTGAAAGAAGACTCCGCCTGTGGAAGAGATCGATGTGCGGTCTCTTGTCCTTAGTCCAAGCTAGGTAGGAGGAGTGATGAGGTCATCAAGACCAAGCCTACAACATCACAAGAGGGTCCAAGTACACGTCTAAAGGCTAAGAGGCTAAGGGAGAAATTTGTGAATTATTTAGATTCATCATTTTGATAACATGAACGTGGACCAATTCAAAGGAAGGCCGATCATGGTGTTACAATACATTGAAGGAGATCGATGGCCTTGGAGAAGGAAGGTGGCAGCCATGAACTAGAAGGGACTCTTCATAGTGTGAACACAAGGTGTGAAAGAAATGGATGTGAACAGAATATCAAGTGTGAACACAAGCATGAATGGGGCAGAATTGAAGGTTTGATTTAAATAGAGTTAGTTAGTTGTTTTTTACTTTGTCTTTTTCTTATTTGTTAAGGTTTCTATATCCTTTTTAGAGTAGGATTTCATTGTCACTTTTAGTTTGTTTTTGGGTTCTTAAGCCTGTACATAGGGGACGAACCATTGTAATGAGATATCAAGTTTTAGTTATCAATCAAGTGAATTTCAAGTTAAATTGAGTGTGTTTGTGCGAGTCTTCTGTCAACGAGGTCCATAAGAGGAGTGCAAGTCTCTTATCAACTAGAAACCGCATCTAGTTTTGGTGAGCATCGACTATATCGGTTGGCCATTCCCACAGGTTCGAATTGTTTAATCAATTTTCATCCTATCCTTTTAATTTCTTGTCATTGAAGAAAGAAGAAAACCATAAAGATTTCGACGTTGTGCAATTCTTATTCTTTTGTCCGAGTTCAAGATTTCTTTTCGGATTTGGGTCATATCAAGTGGTATCAAGAGGGTATCGTGTAACAAGGAGGAATGTTCAACAACATTATGACGAAGAATATTAAGATGAGGAAGATGACGATTTGGAAGGCATTAAGGTAACCATCCCTTCATTTAGAGGGACGATGGACCCGAATGCTTATCTTGATTGGGAGCACAAGATGGAGCTAATATTTGATTGTCATAATCATTCAAAAAATGAACGGTAATCCTAGCTTCTCTCGAGTTTACAGATTATGCACCACCCCGAGAGCCTACCTACCCATCTATTATGCAATTTTATCAAACATGCCCCTTTGTTATTTTTTACATCAAACATGCCCCCTATAATTTGTAAAAATGAACAAACATGCCCTTATGTTAAAATTTTCATAAAAAACTGTCAACCACGGTCGAACCTTGGTTTGAGCGACAGAAATGTCTAAAATATTCCTAATAATTTCATTTTAGAATTGTTTCTATAGCCAAATACCTCTAATAATTTCACTTTAACGAGACTTAGAGAAATAAATGAGGGATTTCCCCCCAATTTTGTCAATGTCGGGTCTTGTGAATCTTGTTTCAATCGTGGTTGACCATTTTTTAATGAATTTTTTTTTTCATAAATGCATGTTTGATAATTTTTTCAAAGCATAGAAGCAAGTTTGATGTAAAAATAGGCTAAATACATTTTCATAGCCATAACTATCGAATTTGTGACAATAAAAGCCATTTTTTGAGAAATACACAAAATAGCAAATTTTTTGGGGATTATATGGCAAATATAGTCATTTCCGTTATAAACTTTAACGGTGGTAGAAACTTCGTCAGTTATGTTAACGTTGAGCTAACTAGTATGCCAAATCATCGCACACGTCAGCGACAAATCACCCACATGTACCACAACATATTTTTATTAAAATTTCTCCGTTTTCGTCTACCTCATTTTCCCTTATCCCTCCACTTCTGACCTTTCGATAGCTTCCAAATTCTTCGACGACAAAGTGGGGAAATTGAGATCGGGAATGTCACTGCAAAACCAAGAACCACCAAAACTGGTAAACCCCATAGCACCAACCGTCGTCGAGGAAAAGTGGGTTCTGCAACTAGGGGTTTGGCAAAGGGCTCGATGTGCTGCTTTCGCGGTGGCCATCGATTGTTCTTGGAAAGAAATGGAGTAGAAACCCATCAAGTTGATTCTTCATAGCTTGTGTCGAGTTACAAATGCATAAAAAATTAAAAATTAAAAAAAATAACATATGCAAAAACAATCGCTTGCAGTGTTAGTGTAAAGTTCACCTCTTTATCACTTTGGGTCAAAAGCAACTATGAAAACTTGATTTCAAAAGGAATTCCATCAAACATGCACCACCATATAAAATTGAATAAAAAGAGTAATTCACAGCCTCGATTGGAAGTAATTTATAGACCACAACAGGCAGAGGAAAGAGCAAAGGAAGAAAGCCACGACAAAGATTTGGGGTTTTTAAGAATAGAAGCGATAAAAATGGATGTAAAAGCTCTGGCTGGTTGATTTCGTCCTTGTATCTTATTGGGTTTCGTTCGTCGGATCGAAACTCTCGGGCGAGTCATGCGTCTTGAAAAGCATATCTGGGCGGCGCGACGGAACCAAAAAGTTAAAATGCTAACAAGCTCTTTTGTTAGCTGATGCTAACATGGTTGGATTGAGGCCCTAGAGATCCAAAGGATGAGCTATGGGCTCACTTAAGTGAGCTATTGTAGCTTTTTTTGCTCAAACCGAACCCACAGTCACGAACTTAGCAATAGTAGGAGAGTGAGTGTCTTCCAGACCCTGATATTAGTCCGTTTGTGATTTCGGATATTAGCTTATGTGGTTGCAATATTAGTAAGAGTGTCAAGGATATGTGTTCATTTAAGGGAGGATATTATTTCTGGTGTAGATGGATGTTAGTCTGGGCGCTACAGATATTTGTTTGAGAAAGGAAGGATATTTGTTTTGTGGTGAATGGGTATTTGTCTGGGCGGTACGAATGTTTGTTTTTTATGAAACATGTATTTTATGCCACATATATGAGTTTGTAACTATTCACTTGTGAACCTTATGGTCACTATTCCCATGTGAACCTTGTACTAACTATTCAAATGTCATCTTTGTTTATTTAAGAATCTACCATCACATTTATCAAGTATGGTTTCTAGTATCACGAACTTAGCAATAGTAGGAGAGTGAGTGTCTTCCAGACCCTGATATTAGTCCGTTTGTGATTTCGGATATTAGCTTATGTGGTTGCAATATTAGTAAGGGTGTCAAGGATATTTGTTCGTTTAAGGGAGGATATTATTTATGGTGTAGATGGATGTTAGTCTTATGTGGTCGGATATTAAACTCGTTGGTGTGGCTATTTGTTGTT